CTAACATTCTGTGATTCTGTGAAATTCAGTCAGTTAGGGGCTTGGTTTTGCCTTGAAGTCCTCTCCTTCTCCCTCCCTTTTTCTCCCTTCTGATGATAAGGCTTTGAGCAACCTGGTCTAGTGGAGGGTGTCCCTGCCCATGGCAAGGGGGTTGGAACTTGATGATCTTTAAGGTCCTTTCCAACCCAAACCATTCTATGATTCTCTGTATTTACCCTGGGTAGATAGGCATCAGATGGATATAAAGGGATAGTGAGAGGTTAAAACCCTGTCCTGCTACCATCTACTTTCTCCTGAAGCCTCAACTGACCAGAGGATTGTCATTAACTTGTGGGCAATGCTACAGTTCACAGATTGTCTTAAAATAAATAGTTTGTTTCCATGTATGAATTTGAAACTTCCTAATATGTCAGTGAGTAGCATAACAAGTACTGAAGTTTAGTTGTTCACAGTCTGAGAGTAGTTTAATTGCTGTGTGAGATCCAGCTATTACTGGTATTGTGCCCAACCGCCAATCTACTGAAGTAATCCTATTTGGTGGGACAGAGCAGGTGTCCAGGAGGAAGGAAAGGGTATCGGACATGATTACTCATTTGTTGTATTTGTTGTATTTGTCATATTTTATTTTTAAAGCAAGTCCTAATATAAGAGTGCGTGCATGCCCCACATCGTGGTTGTTTTACATCTGACCTCTTGTGAGAGGAAGCTGGCACTGGAAGTTGTCTTTTAGCTTGCCTGGAGTTTACATATGCAAATCGATGGCTTTTCTTTTTTTTGCTGTGTGAGTTTACAAATAGGTCAGCTCCTGGCATTGGCTTAGTGGGCAATTGTATGAGTGCCAGAACTGTCTCAAAGGAAATGCTATAGGAGTTTGTGGCTGGGGAGAAGGGAAGACCAAAATCATGGCAATCGGGACTTTGATTGTCTTGTTCTGCAATGGAATTGTGCCATTGCTAGCGTTAGCTGCGTGATACCATGCAGTTATTGTTTTGTTGTGTTTTTTTTTTTTTTTTTTAAAGGCCTGTTCCTCACTAGAGGAAAAAAAGTTATAGCTTTATAGTTTTCTCTTTGAACAATTTAAAAATCAAAATAGTTTGGAGTTTTGGAAAATTATAAATACAAGTCAGCATTTTTAAAATAATGAAATATTTTGTAATACTACATGGAGTGCTGCTCTACGATGTGTGCCAATACCATGAGATGTAATAGCAAGGAAAGGTCCTACTTTGGGGTTGGAAAACTGTTGTGCTGGGCTCTGTACTGACATAGGTACTCATCCTGCAAAGAGACAGTGTTTTCTGTTGAATTCAGTGATACAGCATCTGGTGGTTAAACTGACCGTCTGGATTTTGGGTTTGAAGAACAGACATGCATTATCTTAATTTTGTGTTTGCATGAGCGCTGACTTCTTTTTAACAATTACCAGGTTTTTTGTGTGTGTGTGTGTGGTTTTTTTAATTATGATTATTTTTTTTTTTTTGCAAAGCACTGAAGTAATCAAGGCTAATTTAAAAGTTAGTATGGAGACCCTGTTATTTTATTGCTTCAAAAAAAATTCTGAGGTTAAACCTACTTAGTATTAAAATCAGGGGAAAATACATAAAATACATTCAAGTTTCCTGTTGCTAGATAAGAGATTTCTGAAGGGTGGAGAGCCTTTTCAGTGAATTTACAAGTTGCCTTTGTGGTAGGCACAAGTTAGGGGGTGGAGGATGGAAGGGAAGACCCCTGCTGTTGTCTGTGCCTCTGATTAGGTTGACTGTCTTGCATTATGTTTGTATTTTTGAACCTTTGTTTGTTTCATGTGCCTCTTATTTTAGACTTGCCATAGGTTTTCTCAGAAACAAATATCTTACATGTATATGTATGTTTACACTCTGTTCTCCTAGTGACTCTCTGGCTATACATCCCCTTTGTTGTATGTTGCCTATTATTTTGCTTGATTTGAAGGTTGCCCTTATGGGTGTGAAAAAACTTGGGATAAATATACATGGCTGTAGCAGGAAAATATAGAAGGTTGACTGCAGTTGGGATTTATTGATGGATTAGCTTTCTAAACAGTTATTGCAAGTAAAATTCTTTATCTGTAACATCATGGTTTAACTTGTTTGCTACAGGAAACAGTGCAAATCAGAAGATGCTACTTGCAAGATCTCTGAATCTGACCCTGAGGAATTATCAGATGAAGCAAGTGCTGACACTTTCTATGGGACTTCTCCTCCTAGTACACCCCGCCAGATGAAGCGTATGTCAACAAAGCATCAGAAAAATAACGTTGGGAGACCTGCTAGCCGCTCCACTTTGAAAGGTAGGTGTGGTGTTTTGCTTTTTTTTCCGAAAATGGCCATAAAGTCACAGTAGTAGCCCTTCATTACCTGACAGAGGAGACATACAGAAGATGGAGCCAGATACTGAGGTGCAGTGAAAGGACAGGAGGCAGCTGTCATAAGCTGCCACAAGGGAAGACTCTTCTGGGTATTAGAAGAAAAATTTTACCACGAGAGTGGTCAAACAGTGAACAGTTTGCCAGAGAGTTTGTTGCATTGTTGAATCTCTGTCTTTGGAGCTTGGGAAAACACAACTGGATAAGATCATGAACAGACTAAACTAGTTTTGATATAAACCCTGCTTTGAGCAGGAGGTTGGAAAAAATTACCTTCAGAAGTATTTTCCAGTATTTTCTGCAATTCTGTGGTCTCTAGTAATGGTGAAGTTGCTTCTCTGTCTCAATTCCATGTTCAGAAGCACTTTACAGTCTGTTTTATAGAAAAACACAAGTTTTCTGTGATTATTCTTTACTCTTTAGTGTCACTGAAGCAATTAAATTGTAGCTACCACTGTTTACTTCTGTTGATGCTGTAGTCATAAAGTCAAAACTGGGAAGAAACAAAAGATATTTGATATATGTTTCTTCCTAATGTTATTAAGTAACGATATCTAATACTAAATAAAACAATTTTAAGTTAAAGTATGACTTTTAAGTCATCTACTTGCAAGGATTACATTTTGGAGGTAAAGTGCAGGGGAGAAGAAGGTAAATGGTTTAGCGTGAATAAGGGAATACAGTCTACCCTTCAGTTCCATAGAGTTGTGGAGTGCAAGTTGATGATAAGAGAAGGGCCCATGCAAGCGTTTTCCAAAACTTTTGGTTCCCTTCCATTTCATCCAGCTTCTGAATAATGTCACTGTGAAGAGAGCATTCACCAGAAAACCTCTTCCTTAACCTATATTGAAGAGAAATCTTGTTATATTTGCCAGTTAGCTGTGTAGACACTGGAATTATTAAGCTTCTTTTACAGGCCTTTAATTGTGCCTTTTGGCGAAGTTAAACTCTTCTAATATGTGGTGGTTTTGACTGGGATAAAGTTAGTTTTCCTCACAGTAGCTAGCATGGGGCGATGTTTTGGATTTGTGTTGGAAACAGTGTTGATAACACAGGGATGTTTTTGTTATTGCTGAGCAGCGCTCACACAGAGTCAAGGTCTTTTCTGCTTCTCACACCATCCCACCAGCGAGTGGGCTGGGGGTGCTCAAGAAGTTGGGAGGGGACACAGCTGGGACAGCTGACCCCAGCTGACTAAAGGGATACCTTTGGGGTATATAAAAAGGTATATAAAGGGAGACAAACCCTCCTCAAACCCAGCAACTTCAAAGTGGACCAGTAGATTGACCTTGAATGTGTATGCATATGCTGTTATTGAGACTGAGTTGGTTTTACTTCAGTAAGAGAATTCATTTAGGGGTTGGTTTGATGTAACTAATCAGTTTAAAAAGTAGATTTGAAATAACTTCTCAGATGTTTACGTGCAAGACAGATTTAATGTATCTTTCCTGTATTTAGATAACTGAAAGAATTTTGGGCATTAGGGGCTTGCTTACTTGCAACTCCAATGTTTGCTTGTCTAATTTCTGTCACACCAAGTTTCTTATAACTTGCAGTTAGTATCAGAAAATCAATTGATGCAATATCTGTTTAAACTAGTTTCTGAATCTTTTCTCCTGTGGCTCAAGACCCATGGGATTTATGTTTTCCAAGCTAAATGTATTTCAGAGGTGCTCCTAAGACATATGTATGTCTCCTGGTTGTTTTTTCTGACTCGCAGGGTATGGAATGTCAGTCCAGTGATGCTTGCTTACTTACTGAAGTGTTAACTTCTTGGACTATGCAAAAACAGTGCCCCTGTCTGCTTTTTAATATGAAGCTTGTGTGACTTCGTACATAAAGGAGAACCTCTGTCTGCCTCACTTTCTTACACTATCACTTTCTTACCATCAAATTCCTCAAGTTAACTTAGTCCTTTTTTTAATGAGCTGTTTAAGATCTCAGACTCTACCATGTGCCCCCTCTCACCAAATGATCGTTGCTTAGTTGTTTATTCTGCCTGCCCCATGGAGCACTAAAGGTAATTGTAACTCAAAATTTGTTAGAGCAGCTGAACTTGTTTTACAAATTAATTTATTGTAGTTTTGTGATACAGGCTTAAAATTAGTCATAGGAACTCATACAGTTATAACATTGATACTAATTTATTGCACAATTGTCAGGTGTATTTGAATCATTGACTTCTGTTTATTTGATAAAATTAGTGGATTTGGAAACAATTTATAGATTATTGTGCATGGGCTTTGTTAAGAGCTATGAATATTCAAGCATTAAGGCATGTTGAATGTCTAATAATGAATCATATTGTTAACTTACCTTTCAGGGTATTTTGGTGGGGTGGGGAATCTGAAGATTAATATTGAAGGAGAATAACATGATAAAAATACAAACTGAAGGGGTTTAGAGGGCCTCCTGCTAGAGTGTAAGTTCAGAAAATGCTCTTTGAAAGTACCAGTGTTTTCCACTTCTTTTACAAGGTCACCAAAATCCTTAACATTAAAGTTCTGTTAAAAGTTGATCCATTTCTAATCTACCTCAGAGTCTGGGGGGTGTGTTTGTGTGTGGGTTTCACCTCTGCTCACCTCCTTCATCTTCCTCCTTTCCTGCCCATGCAGAATGTGTCTTCCTGCTGCTTGCCTGTCCTAGCTTTTTGGGCTGTTGCCTCCTTGTGGCAGTGCCAGTTGTGGCGTGGAATTCAAGCCGATACTTAGCAGAACTTTTGGTCTTGTGTTCTGTCTGGTGCTGGTTAACCTCACGAGTTAGTAACCAGTGAGGGCAAGGTACTGCTGGCTGACAGTAGTGTTTGAGTAGATAAGTGTGAAACCAATGATAGTGAATTCCATAGCAGGTTTCTTAGGATCACTGATAGATTTCCATTTCCAGGAAGAAAACTGTGTTTGAGTTAGGTTTTTATATCATCTGATATGTACTTGGTAGCTATTCAAAGAAAGATGTATGAATACATGAAATAAAACTAGTATAAGGAGGCACTAATAAAGTCCATATTTTCAAGAAGCAGTTTGTGGGATGACTTTGTGGTCCCTTTCTTCTTCATCTCCTTCAGAATATAATTTCTTTTTTTTTTTTTTTCCCCAGAGTTAAGCGCCGTTGCACACATTGCAGCCTGCTCTGGTCCTACACAACTGTGTCAAGAGTTAAATTATATTTTTTAGACATGGGGATTGGAAGGAGGCATCATGGCAGGTCATATCCTGATTAATTTGCTTATTAAAAGCCGAAAACAGGGTTCATAATGGAAAAAAGCAAAGGAAGGTGCTCTGACCGCGTACCTCTTTAGTTTCAGATGTCTCTGCAACCTTAGTACAGTGCCTTTGTGTGCATACATGTGATAGTCTTTCAACTAGGTTATCACACCAGTTCTTTTCCAGAGAACTGCTGTCTGATGTAGAGATTGTTTGGAATTTTGTGATGGAGGAAACAGATTTCTGTATGACTGTACCTTCTTCTGTTGCAGATGCCGGAAGATATTGAGTGAATGAAGGGCCATCTGATAATTAAGTCAGTGAAGTGCTCATGTGATAAAAGCATTCTGTCATGAAAATTTCTGTGATGCTAGGCAAACGCCATGAATTAAAATCTTCTGTCTGTAGAAGCAAGTTAGAGATTCTGGGGTCTGGTTTGCAAATTCTTTAGAATTTAAAGTGCAATTGAAGTCAGGGAGCATTGAACACGAAGTGTTGAGCAATAGCTCTTCCCATTTTTGGCACCCAAAAGCATGCTGGCTTCACGGCTCTTTCTCTATGATAATCTTTCATATGTAGAAAGGGAATAATATTATTCTTCCACTGAGCAGGCCTGTTTTGCAAATAAGCTTATTAGTGTTTCTGGTGTTAATGGATGTTATAGTGAGGAGCACAACTGCAAAGACTCTAAGGAAATTACTACTTGTAGAGTGGGGAATGAGCCATGTGCAGCAAATAATCCTTAGAGTCACAGTGGAGACAAAGTATTCAGCCACTGTTCTGAAAGTCTTTTCTGTCCTTGAATATAAGCAAGGGCCTTGTGGCCATGTAGCTTGCTGGTCCCTGGAGTGCAGCTAGTCTGCATACAGGTGCTTCTCTCCAGCCTGACATCCATTCTTCAAGAGAGAGAGAGAGAACCATTGTCCTAATACCAAGTAGTTCCTCCTGTCCTCATCTGCAAAGCCTTAATTGAAGCACTTTTGTTAGGGCTGAAGAAGAGTGATATGGTCAGCTGCTCCTGGGGAAAGAACAGGAAGAGAAGAGGCGATTGCACAATTAGAGAGGAAAGGGCTGCTGTTGTGTGGTCAGAGACAAGGCAAGTGTTTGTGTGTTGGGAAACTGGGGAAGGAGGCTCCTAGTTTTAAGACTACAGAGGGGCTCCCAGAACTAAGATCAAGCCCCCCAAGAGCCAAGATCAGATAATTCAAGCTAAATTTCTGAATTCATACGTACTCCTGTTTTTATGAAATTGCATGTGCAAACAGAGTCTCTTTAGTTCTGTTTCGCTTGGAAACCTTGATAATACTCTGTTGCATTTTGAATTTTTCTATGGGAGGTTCTGTGACAAATATATGGAAAACTAACTTAGAAATCATTCTTTTCCTTTTGATCATACTCAGTTCTCAGTAGATGGCATACTCAGGATAACAAGAATTCTCTGAGGTCCTTTCTACAAAAGAGGTAAAGCAAGAGAGAAAAAATTTCCTTTGGTGCTACTATTGATTTAGCTATACTAATGGTAATTTCCAAGACCATGTTTTACTTCTGCCCATGCCTATGTTGTTTTATTGGTATTAAGCAATGTGTTATGCTCAACCTAAGAAGTGTGATCATGAGCTGGATTGAGTGATGCTTTTTTCTTGTTGCAGCAGTCATATTCTTTCTCTTTTTTTCTTTTCTTACAGAAAAGATGAGTGTGCCAACTCAGTCTGTGCATAAAGACAATGGAAAAACCATTGAGAATGTGGAGGAGCACAGTTACAAGCAAGGGAAAAAGATCCGAGACACCCTAAGGACAACAGAACGAGATCACAAGAAAAATGTGCAGTGCTCATTTATGTTAGACTCAGTTGGTGGGTCTCTGCCAAAAAAAATTGTTGATCTCAATAAGCCTTACCTCAGCCTTGGCTGTAGCAATGCTAAGCTTCCAGTCTCTGTGCCCATGCCAATACCCAGAACTGCACGCCAGACTTCTAGGACTGATTGCCCAGCAGACCGCTTAAAATTCTTTGAAACCCTGCGGCTTTTGTTAAAACTTACCTCAGTCTCAAAGAAAAAGGACAGGGAGCAAAGAGGACAGGAAAACACTTCCTCTGTCTGGCTGAACCGATCCAATGAACTGATCTGGCTGGAGCTGCAAGCTTGGCATGCTGGCCGGAGCATTAATGACCAAGACCTCTATCTCTATGCAGCCCGTCAAGCTATCCCTGATATCATCAATGAAATTCTCACCTTCAAAGTGAACTATGGAGGCTTCTCTTGTGTAAAAAATGGAGCCAGTCTCAATGGTACTTCAGGAGAAGGAGTTTGCAAAGCAACGCATGGAACTAGTGCTTTCGGTTACTCAAGTTACCATGACCACCTCCATCGCCAGCGGGTCTCATTTGAGCAAGTAAAGCGGATAATGGAGCTGCTAGAGTATATAGAAGCACTTTATCCATCTCTGCAGGCTCTTCAAAAGGATTATGAAAAGTATGCTGCAAAGGACTTCCAAGACAGAGTGCAGGCACTCTGTCTATGGTTAAATATTACGAAAGACTTAAATCAAAAACTAAGGATTATGGGAACCGTATTGGGCATCAAAAATCTTTCTGACATTGGCTGGCCAGTGTTTGAAATTCCTTCTCCTCGACCATCTAAGGACAATGATGGAGGGGATGAAGAAATTGATAGGGAAACAGAAGTAAAGGAATCCTCAGGAACATGCACAGAGGAGAGTGATGGGGAAGAACAAATCTCTGAGGAGAATGTTGAAGAACTTAGACAAGCCATCAAGAACAATTTTAGTAACAAGCCAAATTTTGACTTTCAGGACCATTTTTCAAGGAGGCTTGATAGGCTTGAATCTGGGGATGACTCTGCTTCTTGGGTGATTCCAGAATGCAGTGCTGAGGCAAGCTGCAGCCAACACTCTTTGACCTCTATTTACAGGCCTTTTGTAGATAAAGCACTGAAGCAGATGGGGTTGAGGAAGCTGATTTTAAGACTGCACAAGCTAATGCACGGTTCATTGCAAAGGGCCCGTATGGCGTTGGTAAGGAGTGATCACCAGCTGGAGGTAGGTTGCTACGAGTGTAAATGGATAACAGGAGTACCTCCCCTGCTGTTATAATTTCTAATTGAAACTGGAGGAATTGGGATCTTGGTAAAGTTTTGGTTGCTTTGTTGGTTTTTGAAAGATAGTGTATGTGTATTAAGAGCCCAGTTTTACTTCCACTGAAATAAATTTGTCATTTCACCTGATTTAGAATTTGTGTGAAGCACAAGCTAGCTCTGTGTTCTTGTTTGTAACTGAAATGACATTTTTATGATAACATCTTTGCTCATTACATTTTCGAATGTCTAAAACCGTAAGTCAGAAAAATTACAATGGAAAATTAGGCACAAAAGTTCATTTGTGAGAAAAATTAGCTATGGAAGTGGTTGTTTTCCTTTTCTTGTCTTCAAGACTGGATATCTCTCTGCAAGACATCCTTTATGAAAATGTCAGTACTGTTTTGGGTTTTTCCTCGTCTAAAAGAATGAAGTACTGTGGTGGCATGTTATGCTTGAGACCAGATCAGATAAATGAATGGACTCTCTTAACCTGGAAATCTATGAAAGCAAATCATGTTAGCATGTTGAATTCTTCAGCTGATGCTTAGTTTAAATTTTTTTTGAGTCATTTTATACTCTTAATTTCTAATTATAATGAATTAATAAAAACAAAATAGTGAAATGGACACTAAACGAGGGACAGTAGCTGAAGTTTCATATGGTAAGTTGTGGTCACTAATTATTTCAAGGCAGAATATTCTTTTTTTATTATAAACTGTTACGTAACTTGTAGGCATTTTTATAGTAGGAAGAACTGGTAAGAAGGATTACTTGCCCTCCTTGATGAAGTGGCACTGTGTGTGAGGCCCTACTGTGGATTCTGGATGAAGAAATTTGTTAGCCAACATAGTCATTCTAATATGGATACCACATGTGGTCTTTGACACATTGCCAGTCTCTTAGTGTTGACTGTCACGTTTGCAAAAGGAACAAGAATGGTTTATCTCCCTCGGAGGTTATTTTTTTAGAATGAATACATTTATAAAGTTATTTGATTTTGAAAAAGTTTTTATTGGTTTCTGATTGTGTTCTAGGAAGTTTTTCATTAAGAAGATCTTTGTGTATTTCTAAACAGTCACATGCCTAAGCAAAACTTGCAAGTATCTGTTACAGTAACCAAAAATATGTGCAAACCATATATACTTAGAAAGTTCAACTTACTATATAAGTAGAAATACTTTAAAAAAAAACCAAAGGAAATAAAATATAATTTGAAGGTATTGAAAACTACTTTGAGTGTATTTTTGAATTTGCTAAATACCTCAAATTTTTTGACTTGATAAGGGTTCCTAAAACAAGTTAATGAAACCCTAATAGCTAGAGTCTTTGCTCCAGCTTTACCGAATTAAACTTTTTGGTAATTTAGCATTGGATGACTTGTGTAAGATGTAAGGCTAATCATTTATCCCACCTTCTTTACCCTTGGAACTTCCTTGAATGTTCACTTTCCGTAATTAGTACATTTGCTTTGGAATGTTGTCTTCTTTTAAAAAATAACTTTATGAGTAAAGGTGAATCTTATAAAACTAAGCTGCTTCCTGCCCCAAAATTAAAAGAATGCTGTCAAAAAAGAGAAAATACTGTTTGTCAGAAGTGTGATACCTACTGCAGCAAAAAATTACATCAGACTAAAATAGAAGAGGTGGTTTTGAATTTCGTGGTCTTTCATTTGACAGTACTTTGAATGTAGTGTTGTGGGTTTTTTTAGTGCAGTTCAGTTTTGTATTTGTATGCAACCAGAGCTGTTAGTATTTTGTTAATCTTTGCTACTTCTGTTATTTTTATATCTTTACTCTGTGTTTATGTGTGTACATACCCTTTAAAATCTTGGACATACTTTCATTTCTATTGTTACTTAAACACTATCTTTCATCTAAAATTTGCTTTCTGGATTCTTCCACTGTATGCATTTTAATGCTCATTTCATCTTAAATTGATGTAAATGTTTGTACAGATAGCCACTTTTAGTGTTTTTTAAAGTACAAGTTTCATTTGTCCTAGGCTCTGATACTTTAACAAGGCTGTATAGAGTCTATTTTGTGTTGAAGTTGCATGATCTAATCCTTAAAGAAAATGGCAAATATTTCATATTTCAGTTTACGAAATCAGCGGTGTTATTTGAGTAGAACAGTACTAAAGCCTGTGTACCCTGTTTGTTGTGTATTCAGTTGGCTGCACTTTTGAGTATGGATTTTATGTATCGCCTCAATAAATGGCTTGGATTTTCTTTTCTTGGGGGTTTTTAAGAAGTATTTGGTACCTGAAACATTTCATACTGGGCCCGCTGAAGATTAAGATTAGTCAAATTGAACAATAGAAGTTTAGGTGTCTAATACTAAGCCCTAATGGCATGTGCTGTTATCCTTAATGTTAGAAAATATCCTTAATTGAATAGAATGTTGAATTCCATTGTGTTATTTTTGCTTATAGACCAGTTGTTTAATATTTTGGTAAGAACTAAGTTTTCCAGCACTATACTTGCATCATAATGAGGGTTGTATGTCTGAAATATTTTGTTGTACCATAGGATTGTAGTATTTTCATGATCTGTCATTAATGAAAATGAATAGAACATTGAATTCCATTGTTTTTTTTTTTTGCTTATAGACCAGTTGTTTAATATTTTGGTAAGAACTAAGTTTTCCAGCACTATACTTGCATCATAATGAGGGTTGTATGTCTGAAATATTTTGTTGTACCATAGGATTGTAGTATTTTCATGATCTGTCATTAATGAAAACTTCTGGTATAAAAGCCTTTAGCTCTGGTGCTGTTCTGGTGGTATATGTTTCTTTAAAAGAGAGTTAGTAAAAAGCAGACATTAATATACCATCTGAGAAGAGAAGTTCTTATCTGTAGATCAACTAGTGGTCAAACTTCAGCTGAACTAGGTATAAAGGAAATCCCCACTCATGCATCTTTGCTATCTCTGCCTAATGAGCTAGTGGTTTTATAAACTACTTAAAAATCTGCAGCATATAATATGTTTTGTGCCAACGTTAGACAGTAATGAATATGGTATTCCATCCCCCATGACAGTTGAGCAACATCACAATATTAAAAACCAAAACCCCTGAGAAAACTGACTTTGTCAGTAGCTGTAATCTTGTGTGGCTCTTCAGAAAAAGCAGAGCTTGTACAACACTGTGGGCACAACTGTCAAATGTGTGTAGGTGTAAAGGAATAAACAGTTTATTGTTTTTATTTTTTTATTTTCTGCTAGATAAGCTTGAAAATGGCTTAAATTTTTTTAACCTTCTAGGCAGCACTTTATAATTTGATCTAATTTCTGGTAATGTTTTTCCCTCCTTTGAAGTGATGTTATTTAAATTTGGCACTGAAGAAAAACCTTAAAAATAGTAGTTATGTCCAATGTATGAATGAAGCATATTCAGGTGTTATAGTTAGCAGCTGTGAAACGAGAATTAGAATAAAATGAACAATCTGAAACCAGTCTCATCCTTAGGTGATGTACAGTGTGTTGTTATCTTTAAGAGCTGCACACATATTGCAGTACAAATTTGCTTCCTAGATTAAAACCCAGGGTGCTTCTATGTATACCTTTGCTTAGAATGTTATCGCAAGGTATATAGTTTATGTATCTAGGATTTCTATTTCAGATAGTTTCAGTTATTTTCTCTAATTAGAAATGTTGTTTCATTTCAATGTAATTTTCATTTAAATGAAAAATAAGTTTATCAACTGAAAAAACAGCTTGCTCTCTTTATATTTTATCTTCCTTTTTTAAATTTCAATTTCTTAGCATCTGTCAAAGTTCATAAGGTTTTTTTCAATAATTTTATTATGTTTAGCTAGTGACACATTCTTGAATATTGCATTACTTTACAATGTGGAGTTTTGTATAATATATGCACTATGTGTTTGAAAAGGAACAAGGTTGCTCACCTGACATAGCCAAGTGCGAACTTGGTTGTCTAGGTATAGCCATTAATATAAGACCTTTTTGATTTTTTTAAAGATATTTTTAAATTCTCAAGTATTTTATATTAAAATTACCTGAATATATGTTCCTATACATATATTATGTTAGGCTTAACTTGTATGTATAACCTGAAATAGCAGTTTCTTCCTGTGTAATGAGATGATCTTAACTTTAATGAATGCTTTAATAATTTTAAAACAGAAACATAAAATAAGAGATTGTTTTGTTCACTCCCAGGGGTCCATAATTGTTTTCCTCAGCTTTGTGTCCTCAGATAAAAAATAATTTAAAAAAACCCCAACCAGTTAGCTTCTGAAAAAAGAAAAAGAAAAAGAAAAAATAGAAGTTGAAACTTCTGTGGTTGATTTGCCAGTTAATAGAATCCTACCTTTTAAAAATATACTTTTGTGCATGGTTCATTAAACAAATGCTAAATCCTAAAGAGTTTAAGGATCCTTTTGATGATACCTATTTCTTGTTACAGTTTTCAGAATTTCCAGAACCCATGTTGTGTTCAGATTATGTGCAGTTATTAAATTCCCCACCTTGTTGTGAGCAAAAATGCAGCACTGTATCATGGGAGGAGCTGAAATCCATGGATTTACCATCTTTTGAACCTGCGTTCTTGGTCCTCTGCCGAGTCCTGCTCAATGTTATCCATGAATGTCTCAAGCTAAGGTTGGAACAAAGACCTGCTGGGGAGCCGTCTCTTTTGAGTATTAAACAGGTTTGCTTCAACTGTTTTTGGTGTTTTTTTTTTTTTTTAATATTTCCTAATTGAAATTACTTGTCATTTCGTTATTATAAGGTTTTCAGCTTAAAGAGGATTAGTTTAAGAAGTTACAATGTATAATTATGTAATAACTTTGTTTATAAATAGTCTTGTGTTTAATATGGAGATCTGGTTTTTGCTTGGTAAGCAACTGGTCATATATACCTCTCTGATTTAGACTTACAGGTCTCTTCCCCACTCCTTTCCTCTTACTCCTCCCCTTTTTCTTTCCTTGTCATACTAGGATTTTGGATGCCCTTATATCCAAAAGCATGGTACCAATTTCAATCTCAAGACTCACAGTAAAATATAGCGTAGCACACTGTGTTGTAAAGCACAATATATCTTTTTTTTTCCCAGAGACTGGGGCTATTTTTTTCTCCTTACATTTCATGCTCTCCTTGTGGACTTTGAGTTAGGTAAAAATGACACTTTCTTCCTGGAAAGCAACGTGTTTGTTACAGACTGTTTTGCTGGTGTATACTGACTTGCTAATTACATTGAAAAAATTAATTCAACTCAGCAAATGCTTGCTGTCCCACATAGTATTTCTGAACAGGCAAAGGAGCTGTGGGCGTTATTTCACAAATAAATCTATTTATTTCCTGAAATACTATTAATTCCTAGAATCTTGAGCAGGCTTAGAACAGAGTCTAGGGGTCTGTTTTGTTCTGCAAGTTCACAGAATATGACAGAATTGCAGGGAAGCTTGGGTTAGAGATACTCTGGTCCAAGCTTCTATGGTGTAAGCTGGGCCCTATGTTATCCAGGGCCTTGTTGGGCCAGATTGTGAATGGTTTCAGTGCGAGAGAGAGATTCTACTGCTTCTCCACCCAGTCTGTTCCAGAATTTATTTTTTTTTTCCCAGTAGAGCAATTTTTTCTTGTATCCAGGCAGAATTTCCTTGAAGCAACTTGTGCCTGTTGCCTCTTGTTGGGTCACTGTGCATCCTTGTGAGAGGAGCGCCCTTATTTTCACTGTAACTACCCTCTAGGCATTGGAAGACTGCGATTAGACTCCCCTTGCATATTCTGTTCTCCATGTTGAACTAACTCCAATCCCTTGAAGTATTCTTCATATGCATGTAGTACAGCACAGTTTGGTTTCTGTAACAATGGACCCAGTGGGTGTCGTTTGGGGCACTGAGACCTTTCCCCCCGCCCCCCAAGTGTTTCCTACTTTTTGGTACCATTTGAAATGTGTAGCAATACTGTTTAAATGTATCAGGCATACTAGTTCTGATACTCAGCTTTTCCAAGTTGAGGTTACATTTTTTTGATTACTAGCAAGTCAATTCTATTTTATTTTTATTAATCTGGTTTGCAAGAAAAAAGTGTACAAACAAAAAGAAAACTAGCACAAGTTGTATGCTTCCAGCAGTGTGCTTTTTCTCCTATCCTTTCTGACTAGCTTCCCCGTTTTGAGCCATCTCATCTGTGTTTTGCTTTTAGCTTTTGTGATCCTGGTGATCCTGTGTTAGCAGAGAGAGCTGTTCTCTTTTAATGGCAATTTGACATTATTTGGTGGTAGTGTAGTTCCTGAACAGTTCAACGTGGTTCTCAAGTTCTGCATTTGTGCTGAGTGATGGAGGGGTGCGTGTGTGTGTATGTGCATGTGCACATGGGTTATTTCTGTTAGGTGGTTAAATTAGACACTGTTTGTCTGTTGGAGCCTGTGCTGAGTGTCTTACAGCACCATGATCTTCTGCAAAATAGCTCTCGGATCTTTCTGGATCTTTCATACCAGTTTGTATCCTCAAAAAGATAGTAGATGATACTGTCATTTCGTAAAAGCTTCTTTCTTACAAAAATCAGTGGAGAAATTAGGTCAATGCTGCTAGAAGATTTTTAGTTCCAGACCGTAGGAGACTGTAATAGAGAAATGCAGTTTACAAACAAGTAGTTTCTTCTTCATCAACACCCTCTGAAATCTATAACTAGAAGCACAGTAGCATGTTATATGTTGATGCAGGTGCTGATGTCTTAACTGGCAATTCTGTTATCCACATACCTATTAACCAGGTAGTATTTGAACACGTTTTAATGATTAAAGAAGAAGCCAGCTAAAGGATGTGTGTTTGGATGGGGAAAACCATATCTGACGGTCAGCACTCTGGCTAGATGATCTTAACAGCATGTGGTACCTCCTGGAATTTTTGGGTCAACAGCCCTTTTGTCAACCGTCAAACCGTTTTGTGCAGCCTGTTCGTAGTCTGTCATTGTCATGTGGCGTGCATTTAACTCTAAGGTAGTCTGACCTAGTTGAAAAGTGAAAAGTCAGACCTGCCTGGTTTCTGCTAAGTGACTGACACCACCTGGGGCAAGGCCACAATGTACTGAGTAGTTACTGTGTTCTTATTAATCAGGTTATGTGTGGTGGGTGTAGTTATAGGTCACTTAGAGTAGGTGTGATGTAAATTTTGGAAACTGCTACAGCAGAAAAAATTGAATGTCTGGTGACGTTATTATTTTATAGGTTAGGTAAATTGGGGGGTGAGGGCTGGGGAGAGGGAGAGAGGTGTAAAAAAAACCAAACCACTAAACCCCAGAAAACTTAATATAAACCTCATTGCTCTGAACTACAGTACCCTGGAGGCTGTATGACCTGCCTCACCTGGTTTGCAGAAAATAATTTATTGTACAAACTCCCTAAACAAAAAGCAACCCATATAACAAACCAATAATAGGGATAATATTTTCAGTTTAAGCTGCACATTCTTTAGCGTGCTCATTAGAGAACATATTTTTTGTTTGCCTGTTGCCTGGTGAGTTTCAGTTCCAAAAACTGGCCCTTAAAATTAACACTGCAGGGTTTTTTATAAATCTTATATTCTGTTAGCCAGTAGCACTACACATCGCTGTATAGCAGTGATATTTCAACAAAATCTCTCTTTTTAATGGAGCTTTGAGAGTTATTTTATTTTGGAATGTACAAATGTTACTTTCTGCAAGTTTTGGAAGGGAGCTTTTCTTGTATCTGTAACGTATGCCATACTGTATAATACAATTTTATGCATAGGTGATATTGCCAAGTCCCATCTGTCTGTGAATAGTGGGTAGTTAAATACCAGTTCTAAATTCTTTGAGTTCTACAGAGTTCAGAATATTACCCTTGCTTTCCCTGCACATGGAGGAGCACAGCGTAATGTGTTCTGGTCCACGAAAGATTCAAAAGACTTGGCATATTAATAACATTATTGTATGTTTTTTGCTTTCATGCCACTATAATTTCTCATACATTGAGTATGCTTTATTTGATATATTTTGCCATGATAGCCATTACAGAAGATTTTGAAAAGCAAATCAACCAACCAGGCTATTCTCTCTGACCCTCCAAATGAACCCATCTCTTCCTCTCAGACTCTGTATAATGAAGTTGTTGCTCAGAAAAGATCAGGGGTTGTCAGATGGGAGACTGATAATAATTTCAGAAGAATACACACAGGGCAGGGTGACAGCTGTTTGGCCAAAAGTAACCACTTCTAGGGTTGAAAAGATAAGATGCCTCATGTTAGCCTTGCTCGCGGAAGCAACAAAAGAAACACTTAATTTTTTGGGTCTGGTATGGGTTTTAGAGTTGTGGACACCTGTCCAACAGATTGACAATGAATTTCCTTTAATAAAATGTTTCTTGTAGGTCTCTAAGCAATCTGTCAAACCCATTGCATGTTATTCCTGACTTGCTTCCATTTGAACTGGTGATTTGATGATTGTGAGCCCTCTTGCCCACTTCTAAAATTTTTAACTATCCAGTAAGTTGCTTATGGCCCTATGCAGGGAATGAAGTCTGGAACATCTGCCCTCCTCTCCATTTACAGTTATGTGGCAAATGGCCTGACGGCAATGAAACAATCCTGGAAAACTAGTCACATCTTTCCTGTGGACTGTATTCATTTCTGAAAACTGTAGAAATTATGTTGTGATAAACTAACATATTTAGACAAACTGAACTGACAAATTGAGCTTTCACTTCCTAGGGAGAATTTAATATCTTGACTGATGGCCCTTTTGGGGTTTTTCTTTTGCAGCTAGTGAGAGAATGTAAAGAAGTTCTGAAGGGTGGCCTGCTAATGAAGCAATATTACCAGTTTATGTTACGGGAGGTGTTAGAGGACTTACAAAAGATTGATTGCAACATTGATTCTTTTGAAGAGGACCTGCATAAAATGTTAATGGTAAGCTTCAAAAAGGAGAAAATATTGTGAGTTCTAGTAAGTGTATTAATCAGAATACTGCTAACAGAAGTCTGTTCTCCCTGTTGGGTATAGGTCTTGCTGATTTTTTTGTTGTTGTGCTACTTTAACATAGTTTTATTGTTTTAATGGATTTGTAAAGGTGACGCAGTAGCCATTACCATTTTAGCAGTTATTTTAGCAACACTGATTTTTGCTTATGGGACTGTGGTACAGTATACTCATAAATTGCCTGTATTTACAATAAAATTGTTGATAGAACTGTAAATTCCATACATTTAAACTAAACTTATAATTACCTTTAAGTATTGAATAGAAACCCAAATACAATTGTTTGACTGACATAATGTCTCAGTATCTTGGTATTGCATTCATCTATTAATGATTCCTTAGTTTTAATGTGTATTCATTATTGCAATAAGTTAAACACAAGGAAGTATCTTTCAAGAAAATCACTTGACCTTTGAAAGATATTAAATTCAATATTCTTTAGTAAATTTACTTTACTGTTGCCTTGGTTGTGACTGGTTTTTCTTCTTTTGTGAGTTGTTTGAGCTTTGTCCTCAATATTTTGGGAAAAAAAAACAAAACACCACAAACCAAAAACCACCAAGATACACCTCAACACCTCACCACTAGTGTTTAGTCAGCAAAGGTATTGGTACCATCTATTGTTGCGTATGTATGGATTTTCCTATTGCATGCTTTTCATTGCCTGCAATAGTGAAGATGCACTGTTTTACCTGAAATTTGTAATGCTGTGTGCCTGCCTTCATCTCCGTCTGAAATTTCTAGAAACTTCCATGAGAAATGGCCTGGATAGATGAAAGGAAAATGAATCATCTTGTCCATTTTTAAATTCCTTACCTGTTTTTTT